GCGGGCCGCGGCGGGGCGGGGGAGAGCGAGGCTCGTCGTCGGGCCCGCCGCCGTGGCGGTGGGGGGAGGGGCGTCTTGGTCTCGACGGCGGTCGGCCGCCAGTCTCCGCGGAGAACTTGGCCGTGGATGAGCCACCGTCGAGCCGGCTGCGCGTGTGCCCGTATGTGTGTGTGTGTTAGAGAGAGATAGCTAGTGCGTGTGTCAGTGTGAGTGAGTGCGCGGGCTGCGTGTCGGAGAGCCCACCGGCCGAGGGCCAGTTGTAGTGATATCAGTGCAGCGGACAGGAGTATCGTGACATGCAGCACCAGTGAACGCCCCCTCCTCTCGCCGTACTCCAGGATGACGACGGACACATCGATGACAGCGGCGGCGGCCTCGCCCAGGACGCAGAGGCGGTCGCCGCGGGGCCACGGCGGCCCGGCCCCCCGCCTGTCGCTGTTGGTGCTCGCCGCCCTGGTCGCCTCGGCGTCAGCCCTCAAGGGTAATCGTCGTCCACCATTAGAGTCCCACTGTAGGACTCTATCCACCATACGCCAGCCAGTCACCTGCACGGGGAGGTTGACTGTTGGCCCAAAGAAGTGGGAGGCTTTTCGAATTCCCGTGTGACGCTGAGCTCATCCGCCCCAGCGGGTGACGTCACCCACCTGTGGCTGAAGAGAGACAGAGATAAGGTGGGGGGGTGACGTGCCTCTACCGGCGACCGGCCCCAGCAGCTTGCCGTGAGCGCCGTGCGCCGTGCGCAGCTCCGGCTTGGCCGCGGCCGCCGCCCGACCCGGCCCCGCGTCGCACCCCGTCCTGTCCAAGGCCGCCCTGCCTGCTATTGGGGCAATAAGCTGTTCTGGTGGTTCTGGGAGCCGAGCAGGGCGGAGCGGGGTCGAGCCGGCCGCGACACAGCGGTGCGTGTGTGTGCGTTGCAGGTGTGAATGACCGAGACCTCACCTCCTCCCCGCCCCGCTCCGCTCATCGGCATGCCCGCCGCGCCCACCGCACTGCTTCGCCTGGCCTGGGCGCGGCCCCGCGGCCCCCGGCACGGGTTCAGCTGACACAGGCCCTGGCCGTCGCACGTCGCGTTGCTGTCGCAGCGTCTGCCTAGCAGCGTCGGCCAGCTAGCAATGCGGGGAGGGGGAGGCCCTGGAGATAGCCGCCCCAGCCGCCGCCCGCCTCGCGAGACCCTTTGGGCACGAGTGCGCCGTGGTCGTCGCGCACGCCGGCGGCCCGGGGTCGCAGAAGTGAATGGCACGGAACGGGACCGCTCTGTAGCGGTACCGGCCAGGCGTTGGGCGGGGCGCACAGCCGGCACAGCTGGCACAGCCTCTCTCGGGTCCAACTCTCGAGGTTTCCCCGGTGCGTGCGATGTGCCTCTTTGACAGATCCGCATGGGATTCCCGCCCGCTCCAGTCGCGAGGCCAGAGCAGGACGGCCGAGGTGCCGAGGTGTGAAACGCCGAGGCGCGCTCGAGCCTGAATGGCGATGCTTGTGTGTCTTGTGTCGCGGGGGGCAGGACGGGCCGGGGCCGCTCATTCCAGATCACTACGGCGCGGTGGCGCCACAGTTCACAAGCATGTTATTATTTACAACTGACATTTTCGGCGGTGTCTAAAGCGTGCTCTTAGTCTCTGCCCCCGTCGTTGTTCGTGGGCCTCGCGGGACACCCGCCGCGTCAGCTGATTGTGAGGCCGGCGCCAGCCCGTGCCCGCCCAGTTCCCCATTGACGGCGACCCTACCCGGCCTACCTGCACGTCGGCCGGGCGGGCGCGGCGCCTCCGGGTGGCCAGGCACGGGCCCCATTCATTCAGCACTCTGATTGGCATTTGTGACGTGTTGTCCGCCAGAGTGTCCCTCCCCCCCTCCCCTCCCCCACCCGGAGCGGCGTGCTGCCCACGTCAGTGACTTGTCGTCCGGCCAGGCCTGGCCCTGAGGTGCCACGACGACCTCACGACGGCGCCGCCGGGCCGTTGGTACTTCCCCCGCAGCCTTGACTTGTCGCGGCCCCGGTGCGCCCGTGCGCGGAGAAGGCGGTTCGGATTACTCTTTGCCCACCACTCGCCACATAATAGTGCGACTTCGGCGGTCGAGAGAGTGCAGGGCGCCAGCTAAACACCGACACGTAAATGCTTGCTTGTAGTACAGAGGCTTACGGATGCCCCCTCGGGGCCCCGCGGCTGGGATGAGGCACCTGTCGGAGTGTCAAGGCCGCGCAATGCCGGAGCA